GCACTCTACTAATGTTGAAGAATTTTATTTAACTTGGAAAGATAGTCTGCTAACATATAAGAAAGCTCTCCATAAAGCTAGAACTTTATATTACTCATCTTTAATAGAGGAGAATAAAAATAACCCTAGGTTTCTGTTTAGTACTATTGCTAGACTAATTAAAAGTCCCATTTCTGTTGAACCATGTATCCCTACAACTATAAGTAGTGATGACTTCATGAGATTCTTTATAAAGAAAATTATTTCAATTAAAGAGAAAATTCAAACCATCTTTCCGTCTACTATCTCTAGTCCCCTGTCAAATGAGGCAACTTTAAAAATTTCACTAGAGCCTTATTTATGTTTGGACAGTTTTTGTCCTATTGAGTTCTCTGAATTGTCAAAAATACAAAATAACAACCGCATCCAAACCATCCACATGTCTGCTAGATCCCATCCCAACCAGACTGTTTAAAGAGGTATTTCCCCTAATTAATGTCCACATTTTGGATCTAATGAATGGTCACGTACCACAGAGCTTTAAGGTTGCTGTAATTAAACCTTTACAAAGAAATAATCTGTTTGAAGAGTTTCAGTCAGGGTTTAGAGCTTATCATAGCACAGAAACAGCACTAGTAAAAGTAACTAATGATATTCTCATGGCCTCAGACAATGGACTTGTGTCTATACTGGTCCTGTTAGACCTCAGTGCTGCATTTGATGCAGTTGATCACAATATTTTACTACAGAGACTTGAATATGATATTGGAATTACAGGAACGGCTCTAAAATGGTTTAAATCATATCTATCTGATAGATTCCAGTTTGAAAATGTAAATAATAAATTTTCTTCATACACCAAAGTTAGTCATGGAGTTCCTCAGGACTCAGTGCTTGGGCCAATACTTTTTACTTTATACATACTTCCATTAGGTAAAGTTATTAAACAGCATGGGATACATTTTCATTGTTATGCTGATGACACACAATTTTATTTGTCCATTAAACCCAATGAATCATATCAGCTACTTAGACTACAAGCATGTCTTAAAGACATAAAAACCTGGATGACCCTTAATTTTCTCCTTTTGAACACAGACAAAACTGAGGTTTTGGTTTTTGGACCTGAGCACCTTAGGAATGAATTATTCAGTCTTTCTGCCTCATTAGATGGCATTAATCTGTCCTCCTGCTCTAATGTTAAAAATCTTGGTGTTATTTTTGATCAGAACATGTCTTTTATCCCCCACATTAAAAACATTACTAGAACTGCTTCTTCCACCTGCGTAATGTCACTAAAATTAGAAACATCTTGTCTAAAAATGATGCAGAAAAACTGGTCCATGCATTTGTCATGTCTAGACTGGACTATTGCAATGGTTTATTATCTGGATGTCCAAATACGTCTTTAAAACGTCTTCAGTTGATCCAAAATGCTGCTGCCAGCGTCTTAACTGGAGTTAGTAGGAGAGATCATATTTCTCCAGTTTTAGCTTCTCTCCATTGGCTCCCTGTCAAATCCAGAATAGAATTCAAAATCTTACTTCTAACCCACAAAGCTCTCAACAACCTAGCTCCATCTTATATTACAGATCTTATTGTTCCATATTTTCCTAACAGAGCACTTCGCTCTCAGACTGCAGGTTTACTTGTGGTTCCTAGAATTTACACAAACAGAATGGGAGGCAGATCTTTCAGTTATCAGGCTCCTCTCTTGTGGAACCAACTTCCAATCTCTGTCCGTGAGGCTGACACATTATCCAGTTTTAAAACTAGACTTAAGACTTTCCTTTTTGCTAAATTCTAAGTTATGGTCGGCTTGGGTTTCCTGAGCTGTCCCTTAGTTATGCTGTATAGGCTGTAGGATTCCCTGCTTCCTCCTCCAACAACCTCCACTCTGCAGC